AGCCACAGATAAAACCAACTATATGAAGATCAGTGGCAGCTGCAGCTAAAAGTTTTCATTGTAATTCTGTTGCAAAACAACTTTGTAAATGTGCTCAAAACTTTTGCAAAGTTCAGCTCAAGCTTGGCAAAGAGCAAATTACAGGGAAGTTAATCTGAGCGAAAAGCAGGACACCTCCCTGCATTAACCTGTTGAAGACAGAGCAGCACCACACCCATGGCCTTCAAAAATCTGTAAACAACCCACCATGTGTCATCTCATCCTCCGGGCTCCTCCTCCCTTCCCCTCATGTAGGCCACAAGGCCTGCCTGCGCTGTAAATTAGGAACTAACCAATGGCTGCGAGCCAAACACACGGCCGGCCAACTGGAAAAGAGCAGGACAGGAAAAAAAGCAGAAAACGTCGGAGGTGTTTGCCAAGAGGGGAGTTGCAAAACCAGCACGATAACATGCAGCTAAGTCACTTGTTTCAAGATGGCAAAGATCATGTGCCGCTGTAATGCAGAGCTGGACTCTAGCTGTTGTCTACTCAACAGAGGTGGGTCTGTGTGTCACTATCACAGTCCCTGTAAAGCTGCAGCAGCAAACTCACAAACTCATCTGCAACAAAGAAATGAACACCAAACCAAATATTAAAAACCGCCCCCACAGTTAAAACACACTGGTCAACAGACAACCTCTGCCCTGCATGCTGCGTGGGAGCTTTCCACAGCCAGCGAGCCTGAGCTGCAGTGTTGAGGGTTTAGTTTTAAGTATTGGTGAAGTTGTCATGTTTACGAATGAGAAAGGGGTCAGTAGAGCACAGACTTTAACATTCCTCCCCTAGAGGTGGATCTAGATTTCAAACCCACAAGAATGACTTATTATAATTCCTGGGAGAGTTTGTTGAATGCAGCCAGTCCACTCAAAAAATGTGTTTGTCTTCCTGCTGCTTCACTCTGTGCACAATGATGTATGTGCATGTGTGAGAAAACAGTTTCCTGCAAAGAGAACGTTTTTCAAATTAAATCTATTGAGTTTAAGACAAGTAAAACACGACTACTTTGAAAGCAAATCATCGTCCTGTCTGTAGCTAACACAAATGTGACATAGAAATGTTAAGCCCGCATTGCACATACACCACCAGGAGTTGATTTCACAGTGAAGCAGGAGACAACACGTGTCTGTGAAAATATCTGCATAATCCTAAAATGTGTATTTTGGCTAGAGAAGTTGAAGATAGAACACGTAATCCAAAGATAAGCAGGTACATTAACGCTTTGTGGCACAGTACTTCTATTCATATCTGGAGGGGATCTGTCCTGAAAGGCTGCAGCACCGTGTTTAAAAGCAGATGACATTTGTTTTGAATTTCATCTCTTCTGAATCTGCTTTGAGTTGGCGTCGGTCAGAAAGTGGAGGAAATGAACCGAGCCTTTTAAATCCCTGTGCATCTTAGGAAATATATTGCAACAAATCCAAGGCGGCCAACAACTTGTCCACTGTATAAACATCTGATGGTGCTCTCGGTTATGTTTGAGAGGGCAGAGGTGGCTAATCTGACATGTATGAACCCACAATCCTGTTGAGCTCGTCGGTTTGCTAAAAAGAACAGACGAGAAATGATGCATTTAGACACTTGCTATGATTTAACATATTTTCTTCTCGTCTTTATTCTACTTTATAAAATTGTTGTGCTGCTTTTTAGCCCTGAAACTCTCGTTTGAACAATCTGGCTCTATACAGGTCCAGTTAGAATTGCACTCTGTACAGCATATACCTCTGCCAAGGCCCAAGAGTCCCCTTGAATTAAAACAAGCCTGAAAGCTAAGGTCAGATTACATTTCTCAGTTAGATATTGGCAGTTGTTACTTATAATGGCTGAAAAAAAAAGCCTACAGCCCTATGAAACCACATCTAAATTCACTGTAGATCCAGATTATACTTGGATCTACACGGAATAACACACAGTCAGAGCTTTTAGTCAATTATTTCATCAAAATTCACACATAGTACTTCTTCCCTGACCCATACCGCATTATTCCACCAAGATTCATTATAATCCATAGAGTAGTTTTTGTGTAATGCTGCTAAATAAACAAACCAATGCCAATGAAATCTCCTTGGTGGAGGTAATGAGTGAATATCTGCTGAGAAAGACCTTTCATCTTTCTTTCGATTGTCCTCTAAAATCAAGCATCTGCACATTGATACAGGAGACAAATGGAGCTGCCCCTCTGTATGTGGCCCTGTGGTGATTATCTATCAGAAGGAAAGAGAAGGGTGTGGGTGTCTCGAGGGTTTAACTGTCATTTGGTTCAATGAAGGGAGACTCCTGTTGAGTTTTGCTTGAAAAAAAAACAGAAGTGTTGCCTATACTTGTGTGCATGTGGGGATTTGTGCTTAAATATATGGTGCTGAAAGCTGCACCTGCTGCGACAGAGGATAAGAACCAGATCACACCACACACACTAGTCAAATAAAGGTGTTCCGCATGTTTTTTCTATTAAAGCAGTGGCAGAAAAACGATGAACTCTATTTTACAGAAGCTTTTGCTCGCTGTGTAATAGTCACAGAGAAACATTACAGATAAAGTGTGAGGGGAAGTGTGTTCAAGAGATTAGAGCAACTCAGATAAAGGGGAGTCTAAGAGTCTGATAACGTGTTTGTTTTCTTCATTTTGAACTGTAAAACACCACGATACACAGGTGGTGACCAGTTTCCCAACTCAAAGACTTGATCCAAATGTGATAATGAATGCATGTCGGGGGGGAGGGGTTAGGCAAAAAAATAGAAGGCAAGAAAACGTGAAGCAAGAGAAAGCTTCACGTTTAAGACTGTGGGTTGGTTCTGTGCACTTAATGCATGTATTCACCCAGGGAGTTATGTAAATGTTCTCAGAGGTGGGGCTTCACACAGGCTTCAAATCTGCACCTACAGGTCAATCATCACAACACAGATCGCCTCTGTGCTGCACGAGAACGTACACAGGCCGTGCAGATCACAGTGGTGAAACACTACTTGATAAGTCAGTGGGCCATAATGCCTCATTTTAGTAACTAAGCAATATCTCATTCTAGTTATGCATCACTACAAAATACCAAAACCACATTCTCCCCAAAAACAGAATAGACACAAAACTCAGTTAACTTTTCAGTGTGTAGTGAAAACAGAGCACCGCTGCAGCAGCCGCATTTTCGGTTCCAACCTGGTCCTGGCATGTTTCCCCATTTCATGCTTCTCTGGTCCTTTCAATAAATAACTACAAAAAAAACAAAAAATCTTTTCTCCCAGATGCCAGAACGAGAGATAACTTCAGTTGTTCTGTGTTGAGATGATTTAATAAATATAAAAATTAGCAGAAAAATAAACCTGGCTACCAAACGACTTGACTCATCTATCGATTGATATATTAATAACTAAAATGCATCAGAGAAGCTTTGGGCGAGCTGGTAAGTGGACAGAGCTGTTTCAACCCTTTATGTCATTATTAATCTCTGGTAACTCTTTTGTTATTTGGTAGATAAATAAATTGATGTATGAAGTGTTGACCTAAGTTTTGACCCCAAAGCTGGTGACACTGAAAGGTCCTTAAATGTGTGAAATGTATCTTAGACTGTTTGGAGTCTATCAATTAAAACAATAACAAAAGACATTGTCTGATGACATCGTGAAGCAGCATGGGATCATGGGAGTCGTTGTCTTCGCCAACATTGGCAATGAAAATCTACCTGATGAAACTCGGGTGCAAATCCTGTTCACAGATGAGGTCATTTATTGAAGTTTCATTACGTTACGCGGCAAACAACATTGAATAAACATTACCAATACAGCCGACTGGCTAAATGTCTAACCTGCTAACAGTTTGTTTTTCCTTTGTCATACTGTACCGTCTTGTTCTGAAAGTTAAGGGAGACGGACAAAGCCATAGGTAGAGCAGATATAACGCAATTAAAATCTGACCACAATGAAATGTCCTGTTACCTTGAATAAAATCTGTAATTTCTTAGGATAATTGCAAATAATTTGGATAATTTGAGTAGTTCTAGTTATTTTAGATTTTTTTAAATATTTTTTATAAAGATTGGTTACAAGCCTGGATGTTGACCTTCATTTTAAAGGCTCAGATTTTTTTGATTTTTTCCTTTTTAGGTCATGTGAGCTCAGAAAGACAAATTCCAATCAACTTTTTTTATGTGGAAATTAAGTTTTGAATCTTGAATGACTGATATTGCTTGATAAGACGTGTGTTCCACCATGTCAGTTTTACATACATCTCATATTGTTGTGCGAGTCCAGCTTCCAGTCTGACCCACAACATATTGAGGGTTTGTTTTCCTTTTTTTCCCCTCCTCAGCTCAGACAATAGACTCTTTGACAGCATGTGTGTGTGTGTGTCCACCTCATCAACAGAGGCTGCTCGATCAAGCGTGGCCGACCCTCCTTGAGAAAGGCCAGTGGAGTTCAACAGGAGAAGCCATCTGTGCCACTTTCTCACACACAGACACACACTCTCCAACACAAACATAACAACCGAGCAACAAACCATGTGGTGTCTCACATGCACAGACCCCCCACCCCCACCCACCCATGCAGCCTCAGGTGAATCAGCTGCAAGTGTGTTTTTTTTCTACAAACACAAATCCAGGTTTTGTTGAGGTTGAACTTGTGAATTCTCACTTTGATTTATCACAACCTGCTGTTTACTCAGCTCTACTATACATTTCTTATGTAACCTTTAAATAAAGCAGCAGCGGAGATTATGTAAGGAAGCTATTCCTATTGGCTCTTATGGTAGGGCTATACATGGCTACGTCACTGTCAGGCTGAGAGAGATAGACAGGAGAGAAGGGAACACAATGAGACATGAATATCTTTCAATCAGAACTCAGAAAACATCACACCATCATCTACATTAATGGGGGGGGACATGTAGGACGAGGCAAACATGGGTGCTGGCGTAGATTAGTCAAAAATTACATCCGGTTTTTATTTGCTTTGTGTTCAATTTGATCTGCAAGCATGCAACATGCGAAACAAAATAGCTTCAGATTTTTTGCAGGATGTTGGCCTCATATGTCTTCAGCATTGCGTCCGAGTGTAAATAAAGGTTGAAATGTGCAGAATAATAAAAAAAACAACAGTGCCATTTGTGCACATGTACGAGATTAAGGAAGTGATATATCGTAGAAGAAGGGAAACAGGAAGCCAAACAGCTCGATCTGCGTCGTGCATTTGCAGCGAAGAAAAGTCTCCGGGTACAAAAATACACCAGAACATCGTGTGATCGCACATTACACACGGACTCGTCAAGGCGGAAGTAAGCGTCGTGTCCGCGTCCAATCACAAACGCGAAAGGGTTAAATGTGAAAGCAGCGCAACAACAAAACAATCGCGACGAAGCTGCTAAAAAAAAAAAGCGTTCAAATGCAGTTTGAGGTTTGGTTCTGGGTGAAGTGCAGCGATGCGCCAATGTGTGTGTTGCACTAATCATGTTTGTGTGTGAGGGGGGGTTTAAAGGGAGCACATGGTGGAGCATGGCTGCAGCCCATCCCATGCAGGGACAATGGATGCCCCCCCCCCAGCCATCGGCCTCTGCGCCCTGGGCAGTCGACGCAAGGCACGGCCGAATTCATGCACTCACCGTCGGCTTGTGGAGCGGCGGGCCACGTATCCACTTCGGTCGCCATGGTTCTCTCCGCTCCAAGTGCTCGGTTACAAGAAGAAGATCCCTCACGGTTCTCTCTCTCTCTCTCTCTCTCTGCAACAAATCACCCCTACGAATAAAAAACACTAACCAGCCGAGTGCAGATCCAGAAATGAATGATAAAATAAAGTATTTAAAATAAAGATGGAGGAAGGAGAGAAAACAACAACAACCCTGACCCCGTTTCTTCTTGCAGCTCGGTCTCAGCTGAGGAGAACAAAAAAAAAAGGGGGAAAAAAAGAAGAAATTGAATTTGCAAAATGTCCAGTGACAGAAATGCAGGTTTGTCTTCTTCTGTGCGTTTGGAGCTGCAGAGAGTGAGGCGAGGAAACAGAGGTGGTTTGCAGGAGGGCAGGTGAATTAGTCTGAGAGCATTTGAACAAACAGTCGCTGGATAAACAAAGTCTGTTTTTAACTTTGCAGGAGCCAGCACACAGGGGTCACGTGGAGAAAACGCGCACCGCGAGTGGTCGATGCAGGGGGTGGGTGCTGGTCCACTCTGACCAATCACAGAGCAGGAAAAATAAACCCGTTAAATGTGCTTTCAAATGTTTTTTCTCAACAAAACTCACAAATATTCACATTTAGGAACTTTACTGTCACCGTGCAACTAAATACAAAAGTCAACCTTAAATCAAATTGTGATTGTTGTAAAGATTTGCTAAGAAAATATACCAGTATAAAAATAACCAGAATCAGCTTTATTTGCCATGTATGAGTACATACACATACTAGGAATTTGACACCTAGTTCGTGTACTAGTATGTGTACTTTACAAGACAGTAGTGCACTGGACAATAGTGTTGTACAAATATGGATCGATGACATACAAGTTACTTATATGGGTGAATCAGAGTGCAAAGTTACTGGATCAAGTATGGATCATTATGTACATGATGCATATATATGTGAATCTTATGACAGCAGTGATTTGTATAATGCACAGTATATACAGTCTGCTTAGATTTATACTGGTACAGGTATAGTAAGAAACTATAACTACATTTTATTTGTAGTATGAGGTCTTTTTTATTATTTTTACTTCAGAAATGTTGTTTTTTATAAATTGACAATTTTATAAAATTGAATTTGTATCTGTGATACAATAAAATCATCAATAAATTCATATAAGCAAAGTATAAAAGTCTCCTCTCTTCTTTTCCATCATATTAATGTGTTCATGTGCAGTATTGTGAAGTATTGTGAAGTATTGTGTTTGTACTTTGTAAGTATTTTTCTCTGATGTACACTGTTTTTGTCCAGAAATGTTTTCATTAATTAAGGTGGATCAGTTTAACAAAGTCAATTCATTTTAATTATAGGCTTCTCAGCCTCTATAATGTGGATGTGTTTATGGGGATTGCTGCCCAATGCAGTGGCTGCTGGATGAATGGAAAACGGTAGGTGGTGTAAACAGACCTCCTACAGACCACAGGACTGTGTGTTCCCCTCAGTCCTGTGGTTTCAGCCTCACCCTGTTCAAAGCACTGCTTCCTCTATTCACAAGTTGAGCTTATATACAACACGAGTTTGTTCATTTGATTTACTTGAAAATAAATAGATTTGCTGTGATCTAGGGTTTTGTGTTGATGAAATGGTTGTGTCCTATTTCTGGACAGTCGTGGATCTTCTGTTTATTGTTGCATGTCCTTTTCTCCTCACTCCCTTGGTATCTCCTACCTATCAAAAAAAAACAACTTCTTTGCATGATTTTAGAAGGAACTTGCTGTACATGTCAAAATCATACCACTTGATGGCGCTATAACCTATGCAGCTTAGCTCTTCATTGATTACAGAACTCAGTGTATATATTTATCAATATCTGGGGGAAATATCCAAGTTTTAAAACTATTTCCTGTATTTTTTTTATCCCATTTTGATTCCTCTCGTGGTTTGCATCACAATATAGTAGCTGGTCCACGAAAACATATCAGCAGGTAATGATCATGACTGGATAACAAACAAATAATAGCTAACCGTGTTCCAGCCCGGGTCCTTCAATGCTTCCATATTGACAAATTGTGTTTAATTCCATCAGTCGTGCATAAATATCACAGAGGAGATCAACACATGACCCCTGTAGGGCACAACCATTTTCTTGAGTGTTTTTAGGGAATACAGACCTTGCTGTGTTTTGAGGGAAAGCCCCCAAGTGAACCTGCACCTATGTCCTCTTATGCAACATTTTTACTCAAGACTGAAATAATGACACTCTTTAAATTGGAATTTGAGCCTCAGGAAATAAAGTAGGACCCACCTTAAGGCCTCTCGTCATGTAAGTGGATTTTGCAGTTTGGTCAAACATTATTCTGAGCAAATGCACCGTTAAATTGATGAATTTTAAAGTTCACTCCGGAGCTTTTGTGGCCCCTGGAGTTTTGGGTGTCAAATGTCAGCTGTGACTGATCGGTATCATCCAGCCTTGGTGATATTGAGTAATACGTCAGGTGGGGCAGCAAATTACTGAATTTGAGAAGAACAATGAGAGAGGACAGGCCTGGTCAATGCCAGTGATACACAACAAGCATGTGCTGTTCACTAACAAAAGACTGTCAGTGTTCGTATACATTTATCTTTTCTCTAGAGTTCTCCACCATTTAAAAACATTTCAAAACTTATGAGCTTCCTGTCTCTGGTCTGACTCTGAACAAATGGTCCGTGCATTCATCTCCAGAAGATTAGTTTACTGAAATGCAATTTTACAGGGCTTTCCGAACAATAACTGGGCTCCAGCTCATCGAGAATGCTGCAGTGTGAGCTAGGTGGGAATATAAGAAAATAGGACATGTCACACCTGTTCTGAAAACACTTCACTGGCTAACAGAATAGAATTGATTTTAAAGTATTGCTGCTTGTTTACATGGCTCGTATGGCTGCTGGATAAATTTCTGAGCTGCTCACTGATTACAGCCCAGCCAGATCCCTCAGATCTTGAAGGATGTGTCTCCTTTATGTACTGAGAATCAAAACTAAATCGTGTGAAGGTGCATTTAATCACTATATGGTTCTAATCTCTGGAACAAACTGTCTGATGACCTGAGATCTGCTGCAACAATATCTTTTAAAAGCAAACTTAAAACATTTAATTTCTCTCATGCTTTTATTAGTTTATAGTGTGTGTGTGTGTCTGTGTATGTGTTGTAGTGGGAATTATGTACCATAGATGTGTATGTGTGCTCTATGGGTGGCTCTAAGGTTACATTATTGGTGTGGAGTGTCTATTTGTATTTTCTGATTTGTTTGTTTTCTATGGTTTCCTGTAAGGTACATCGAATCTCCCTCTATATGAAAAGTGAAATACAAATAACATTAATACATGTTGTGGATGTCAGCACTTACACATCTGCCCAGTAGAAATAATCACAGATTTCTTGTCTTGTGATTTACACCAATAAACGATGAAGCTTTCAAGCTTTCAAGTGTGGCCTGATGATTCATCCTGAGTGTGACAGAAGCTGCCTCATGAGTGGGTGAAGAAGTTTTTCATTATCTGTATTTCAAAGCAGAACACTGCTGGTAGAATGCTCAGAAAAGCACAGACACGTGTTCATTAGGACTTGTAATCGTTTATTTTTACACAAAATCCACAGTTTTTGTTGAATAAAGCAGATGTCAGTGTCCAAAATGGCAGAAAAGAGCATCAATAAAAAAAAAACTCAAATGGAAGAAACCTAAAAATCCCACCATCTAAAAAAAGCACCAAAACATGTGCAACCAAATATATATGTATATTTATATATATCTTAAAACGTGAGAGCATCGCATTGTTTGATTTTTACGGCAGAGTGTGCAACAGAAATCTCTACGCTATACACCAAGATACAAAATCAACTTGATATTCATGATGACAGAAAAATGTTTGGGTGTTTATATCGACAAATATCATGTCAACGAATACCAACTACACTCAACTTTGGCTTCATAATAAGCGACAGTGATTCAACAGCACGACAACACACGGCTGACGATTACTCCCCCACACATAGCACACTGAAGAGCTGCAGGTAGAACTGCACAAAGATACCCTCAAAGAACACCACATGTTGTAGTAATATTAATCTGTACTATTCCACACACGATCACATACAGATATAAATCCTGCGCTCCCCGTCGCTGCAGGAGTAAGAAGGAGAAGTTTCATAAACAGCCTTGAGTGTTCCCGCATCAGCAGGTTTTTCATGTTTTGTTGGTTCCTTGCAAACTAGATTAGCCGAGAGAGTGGGCTCTCTGTGTATTGTGTTCTTTTTTTTTTCTTCTGCTCATCAATTCTTGGCATTACAAAATAACGTCAGTACAAATATAGAGTAGATACTATCTCGATAAGGAAAAGTAAACAGTCCTTTGCAGTCAAAACTCAGCGAGGTAACAGTCTTGTATCAGGCCTTGGCCTACACTGTGGAAATGAGGGTAGAGTTGGGGGCGTTTTCTCAGTTCACACTAAACTTGCTCCACAGACACTGAACTCAGTTTGGCTTTGATGTGAAATCAGAGTCGGGGTAAAACTGGCTCCGGTTTGTGAATCTTGTGTTAAATTCAAGTCACAGAGCTAAACATGTGTTTTTCAAATGATCATCATAAAACGCAGGCCATTTAATGACACTATCATCATCGACTTCTCTGTTCTGCTCTGGAGTCCACGGTACAATAACAGATTTTTTGTATTTTTTTAAAAAACTTTATTTCTTACCTTTGATGTTTCCCACACAAAAAAATATATAAATTAATGAAATGTTTTTATTACCATGTATGATGAATATAACCTATGGCCAAACCATATAGGCTTAAAGGATACTACTAATTCATAAAAGCCAGATCCAGAGTGTTGCGCACTACAAAACTACACAACAAAAACCAAAAGAGTATTTCTTACATATGGTTTTCTAGCATGATTTCTTAATTATACAGTACATTTACTTCCATGAACATGTCCTGAATAATTCTGCCATAATTAATTTAGCCTTTTAGTTGAAAATAAAAGTAAATTTTTAATTCATCATCGTATGCACAATTCAAATGTAAATGGTGCTTTTAATTTCTTACAAAATGCAGTAATTTTGCTCCTTAATGTTGCAGCCAACAAAATTACAAAATGTATTAATACTTAACATATAAGTCAATGCCAAATAATAGCATTATTTTCTATAAAAACAATAAATCACAAATATAGGAAACAAATTTCAGTTAATGCCATGCAAATAAAGCAAGGATTTAAGTTCTTGCTAAACTATTGATGTGGAATTAAAAAACACAACTTGGGTTAAAAATCTATTATAAAATGCAGTGGAAGGATGTTGGTTTTATATTTAGTTTTTATTTATCAAGATCAACAGAAGAGACTTTGAAGAGTCCAGAAATATCCTCAGGATTTTCTGAAACTGTCGGCTACTTATCCTTCAGAAAGACAAATGTGTCGCTATGTGACTCAAACGTAATGTTCATGCATGAGAGACACAAACCGGGTCGAAGGTAAAACCAGAAAATCTAAGTTTGCACTTGGAAACCTTAAGCCAAAGGCATTTAACTGTTATGCTGTGTACAATCTAGGGCCTCTGCCCGGCACAGCTCACGGATTCATAATGAAGAGGTAAATGTCTTTTTTCACAACAGTTCATTTCCTATCAACCAGCATTAACTAGAATAAGGAAAAAAAAAAGTGTGAATACTATTGCTAAATACTATTTTTGCAAGTCTCATGTGTACTGCGTATATTTTGTAAAGAGACTGCTGTAAGCACTGCTAGAATAATGTTGGATGTACGACTATACACAATTTACAGAAAACACACAAATTCACATAGCAGCATTAAAAACTTTAGTATGTCTAACAGAAAGTCTATTTTCATCTAGGCACCATATACTTTAATTTAAAAAAAACCTCTAGACTATTGAAAATAAAAATAATAACTTTTCTTTGAGCTAAAGCTAAAAACACTTACAGCAGCCCAAAGGCTTTTCTGCTGATATGTCACCTCTGTAACGCCTGGGAGTCACTGCACAAGAGATTTGAACAGAGATCAAGATGACTGCAACACAAACCTACTTGCTCTCCCTGGAAACACATGATTTGTCTTTAACCAATAAAAGATATCGCAGAGACAAATCGACTCAATGTTTTTACAAAGAGCTACAAATCACTTGAAACCCTCAGGCGAGTCATTGTCACACTGGGCCAAGGACACATTGAAGTGGCCTTGAGTCAATGAACCCCAGAGACACAAACTACAGCAGGACAGACATGTTCAAAAATGTGATTTGAGACCTTCCCTCCTCTCTCTGACACTCGATTCTCGAGTACATTTTGTACCGAGGATCAATCACAAGAGAACACGTGCTGCTCCTGCTAAGCAGCACCGAGACTAACCCTCGCATAATCCTAGGACATACACAGAGTCAATCAAAAGGTTTCACGCTCCACCAACAGGCAGAGACATCAGCGGCACACGCCGTACGACTGGAATATCAACCGACGAGTGGTTTTATATACAAACCAGGACACGTTAAGAGAAAAGCAGTCTCAGATTAGTCAGTTTTCAAAATAAAAGCATCACACTGACTGGGACTGTAAACCCTCACTTCATGCATTTACACATTTAGTTTTTTACCTCCGCCAATGACATCATGTTTTCTTCTGTGTGTGTTTGTTTGTTAATTAGCAGCATTACACAAAAAACGATTTCCACAAAACTTGGTGGAAGGATGTGGTGTGGGTCAAAGAAGAACCCATTACATTTTGGTGCGGATCCAGGATTTTTTTCCTCTTTCTTTAACAGAGATCTTTATGAAAAAACAAATATTCCTTATATATGTATCAGAGAAAAGTTATTTTTCCTGTGTTTGATGTAAAGAGTTTGCAGAACACCTCTCAATATGCATTAAGGTGATAAAGTGGCCAATCAGCTTTGGCGGAGGTATACGATCTCCAAGTGCCCTTCGAAGCATTACTCAGCTGGGACAGACATCACATTTCAAGCCCATGTCTGCCAGTTTGCGTTGCCTTTTCCAGACTCTTTCAGTCGAGCAACATGCGATAAAAAAATCTCCGTAAACATCTTCAATATATATATTTTTTTTTTGTCACTGCAATTACCTTTTACATTCATGATCAGTGATGAGATTAGGCTTAAAGTTTCTGCCTTGTTTAAAAACTCAACGGTCCAATTGCCCCGCAAAAAAATGGCAACGACCGAACAGGAACATGTTCGAACACGTTACATCCAAAGTCAAACAGTATTCATGTAACAGTCTGAAACATCAAGGTATAATCATTGTAAAGCTTTGCCACCCATACATTTTGAAATCAATGTTTGCATCCTATTTTTCCTTAAGGGAACAATAGAAGACAAAATGTATAAAACACACACACACACACACACACACACAGACCTTGAATCAGTCACAATAGATGCCTCTGTCGTTAGTTCCTCTGGTAAACAGAGGGAACAGGCTGGTGAAAGTAAAAAGTCACCCGACAAGAAATAAATCATCTGAAATATTTTAGTGATCAATATATATTCAAAAATTAGAAGCCAGTAGATTCAAAGATATAACTCCTGTTTTCAATCTGCTCTGTTGAAAATAACCTGTTGCACAATCTTACTTCAGGTACTGTAGGTGTTATTTTCTTTGAATTACAAAGGTCAGTTAATGATAACCACTTAAGTTTATGGTTACAGATGCTGATCAAATAGCATATAGAACATGGTATACTGCTGTACTGCCACTGACAGTGGTTCCAAACATTCATGACCCTGTAAATTAAAGAACATTTTCTTGAGATCCATCTTACGTTGCATAAATTGATAAGTTGTGAGCAGCTCAACCCAAATATGGATTTTTCGCTTCTCAGATTGTTTACGATCAGGGAAATATTGGAAAATTAGCACATTATTCTATACGGTAGAACACTCTTCATTTTTCCTATGGGGCTAATCCTCTCATGACCCTTTTGAGGGGTCCCGACCCCCAGGTTGGGAACCACTGACTATTTCACTGAAAACAGCTAAAATGTTATATTAGCAAGCAGAGAGATAAAAAGTAAAGGGATGTTGTCACTAAGCTACCTGCAATAACTGATTAGGTAAGCATGTGGGAAAATGAAGGAGAAAGAGAAGGAACAAGTCGTTAGCATTTTCATCATGAAAAAAAGATCTGTTTCTCCTACTATGAACCAAATCAGCCAACTACAAAATACTACTTTCAGGTTCTCGTTTGAAATAAAACACAGAGAAAACAGGTGGATCTATTCCTCGTCCTGTCTCTTGGTTTGTAACCACAAAGACCTGCAAGACTTTTCTTAGGTGATTCAACTTTTCACCTACTAGTCTTAAACTGTAACTTTGTTCAACTTCAAACTCACTGGCCGTCAGCCTACGAGGCCTCCACCGTCTTCTGGATGCCACGAGAGGAGGAGGAGACACGGCCGCGCTGCCAGACGCAGTCTTCCGAGATAGTCGACTGCCCGCCGGCCTTTGCACGGTGGGAACAGTCCACGCTGTCGTGCAGCACATCCTCCCTTTCCTTCCCCTTCACAGCCTCTTTCATATGCCCCTTCTGCAGTTCCTCCTCCTCCTGCTCCTCCCTCTTCACGTGGCAGCGACACACCTCGATGCCCGAGTCACCCGTCAGTCGTCTGTGCCGGAAATGATCCTCCTCCTCATCTTCCTCTTCTTCTTCCTCTTCTTCTAGCTTATGTTCCTCTTTGCTGCTGCTACGTGTGAACGTGGCCACATTTGATGAGATGAGCACCTGTTTGGGGGGGGGCAGCGTGGGCCTGGGGGTCGGACCATGAGGTGAAATGTCTTCTTCTTTCTCTTTCTGGACAGCCATGATTCCAAGTGGGTCTGAGAAGATGAGAGGATGGACCTGACCAGGAGGGAGGGAAGTTAACAGGGTGAGGGGAGACAGCGGGAGGCGAGAGGGCTGTGAAGGATGAGAGCGTAGAGGAAGTGAAAACGAAGGAGCTGGAGGTGAGTTTCCTTCACTGCCATTAGAGGAGCGTCTCTGCACAGGTGCGATGTCTGGAGCGGCCATAGGTAAAACATCAGGTGGAAGTTTCAATGGAAGTGGCGGGGAGGGTGTGGGTGAAAAGGTGGCGCCTACCCGTGGCACGATGGCAGAGTCGCCTCCGGCTTCGCTGGGTGTGGAGATGTGGCTGCTGTCGTACGTCTCGTCTGTCACCTGGAAGGAGAAGGAGGTGCTCGAGGGGGAGGTGAGGGAGCACGACTCGCAGGAGCAGCTGGTGTAGTTGTCAGAGCTCTGGGAGGACGTCATGCCGCTGGGGCCAGGGCCCAGGTAGGGAGGGCAGGGGTTACGGTGGTGGTGGTGATAGGGGAAGGAGGAGCTAGGACCCCCCATGCTACCACCCTGCAGGGCGAAGACGGAGCTATAAGGCGGAGGAGGGGTGCAGGGCTGTGCCGCCACCTCCTCGTAAGACGGCAACTTGAATGAAGCCAGAAAGCCTGTTAGAAACGAAACATCAGCTCAGATGTGGCATCGACTCCCACGATTACTAAGATGAGACTGGACAAACTAAACACCTTTTGAGTTTTTATGACAAATGAAGGCTACCACAGTTTCTTTTTCATGTTTGGAAGGAGACAGTGAGGTGAGGGGTGTTCAGCTGCAACATGCAATTTCAACACTAGATATCACAAAATTCTACACACTTCAACACCTCTGCATCATTTTAAACCTGGTCACACCGTGCATCTTACCTGTGTGTAGAACCGCACTCTAAAACATAACCAGTGGTGAACCTAAAGTGAACTTACTGAGGTCCAGCATTGAGGAAGGGTAGTTGCAGGCTCCGTTATAGGCGATCAGATTGATCTCTCTCTGTCTCTGCTGCTGCTGGATCCTCAGCTTGGCCCGGCGGTGGCGGTAAGCACAGAAACAGCTGAAGAGGATGAGCACCGTCCACAAGAGCCAGAACCCTGTAGCAACAGGAAATGAACACAAATGTTCGCCATTATGAAAAACAAACATTAAGGATTCTGTCTGTTATCTGAATTACATCTACACTTTACACAGTGGCCACAGGTCCAAAATGTTTTCAATACTGTTCTCAATATGTGACAGCAATGAATGCAAACATTTCATTTTGACTCTTAAAAGCTTCACAGCAGTACGAGCTGATCGATGACACAGAGGAGAAGAGGTCAGTCAGTAGACTCACACCAGAGTTCATAATAGTAGGTACAGCAGCCTGTCTCTCCGCAGCAGTGTCCCGTTTCACACAGGTAACCTGGACTGTTGTTTACTCCAGGACAGTACTTTGGGCTGACTACAGGCTGGCTACCAGAACCCCTGTGTGGCTTCACCACCTGGTGGACAAAACACCACATCACAATGTCACCACAGTGGAAAACAAAGGCAGAAGGAAAGTTGAGCTGGTTGGCATTGCTATGATTTTCCCATTCATTCTCAACCTTTTAACATAACTCATAGTCCACTTTCTCTCAGAGTTTTGAAAACCATTAGAGGCAGATGAAAGCTCCAGAAAAAGGTGGATCATTAACCTTTCATCTCCATATCATAGTTGCATATTTACACACAAAAAGCAACATTAAGATTCATTTGGAGTTGTATTAGCATCCATTTAATTAAACAGATATTCCCTTTCTCCAATATTTAATAGTATTTCTGCTGTGAGCCTGGAATTGTACCAAATCTGTATAGTAGCAGAACCAATCGGCTTAGAGAAGACATATTATGCTCATATTCAGTTTCATGATTTGAATTTGGGTTATTACCTCATTACATCATCACTTTCCTCAAACTGTTAATTGCTGCAGCTCTTCTTTTCAGCCTCTGTCTGAAACATTTGTTTTTAGCTCCTGTTCCTTTAAGGGAATCCTTTCACATGAATCCATCGTTCATTAAACAAAAAATATTGATTAGAGCACCTTTAAGAATATTTTATAAACTGTGTTTTACAGCAGCTACAGGTCAAGGCAAAATGAGGCTGAAGAAATCTCCCACCTTATTCACTGTGCGCATGTCGGTCTCCTTCTGAGAAACAGCCACCTAAAATGAGAAATGAAATCATCCCTGTGAGTATGACACTTACATCTCAGTCATTAGCGCGTCACTGTGAAGGACACAGGCAAGTGAGGAACTTAACCCAGACATTAGATATTTAATGTGCGACACAGAGTAAAAACATGCTGGTGATTCTAAATGTTAAGGGAAAGATGTGTGTCCATGAGCAGTAATAACGCTGCAGGAGGAGGTTTCTAAATCTGCTATGTACATAGTAACCACACATGAGACTGAAGTGCTAACAAATGATTATGAATTGTCATAGCAACCACCGTGGTAACACTCGGAGGCATTTTTCACACATGTTGACAACGTTTTATTTCCTCTAGTGGTATGAGGTGTTTAGTAGTGGTTGAAGGTCGAGCTCAGTACCGTGGCAGCTTCGGTTCCGTCCAGCCCCTGCAGGGACATGGTCATCTGGAAGAGATGAGGACGTGCAATGGTTAAGACGGAGACATGAGACCACGTAAATGGAAAGAAGAAAAACAAAAAATTATTCTCTGTCTTCATTTTAATCAAGCATGACAAAAAATAAGTCCACTAAAAGATTACTTTCCACTCAGGGGACGTTGGCTGACGCTGACGCTGACACACACACACACACACACACACACACACACACACACACACACACACACACACACACACACACACA